ATCCTAAATCTGAATATGAACATATTACAGGTTATCAATTGCATTTTCATAACATTTTAATCTTAAATCTAAACAATACGACATTAATCTAAAGAGGGAAACATGAAAATTACCCGGGATCCGTATCCATCGGCGAAAATGTTAGGGAAATACCATTCTATCAACGCCGGAAAATCGTGGTTGAAGTTGTTGTCGCCGGAAAATGACGTGGTTGAAGTCGTTGTCGCCGACAAATGACGAGGTTGAAGACGATACCGTCGGAAAATCCAACCTTGAAGCCGACACGGAGACACAAACAAAGAATGGAACTCGAAGAGGAAACAAGGGGGGACCAGTGGGAAGACCAAAGAGGAGACCCAATTTTTACTAAGAGGGAGGGGGAAATTACGAAAATACCCCCATTCCATTGAGATTTCGTCTGTCTGCGGAGCATGTTGAGGGTGCTTCGCGGAATGCATGTCTATAGTTGAAATTTCATCTTTCTGTGACAAAATTTTGAAATACCCCAAAAAAAACGACTAAATTGTTTTAGTGGCTTTTTTTATTGATGACATCTCTTAAAGTATTTATGATTGTAGTTATTGTTCTGTATGGTCACTATAGTCATTTACATTATTTAATTTCATTTTAGATTTTTTGAACGACCGATTAGTAGTTAGATGTTAAATTCAAAAAGTTAGTCAATTCACCTATGCCCATGTTTGAACTCGAGACTTCCTATCTAAGAGGCTTCCACCTCTACCAAGCGAGCTAGTCCAACATTTTCATTTAAGATAACATAATGGTTTTCCAACAACTAAATGATTTAAAGACCAAATCGTTTGTTTGTGTCTATTTTTCATGATTCAATGTATATGTAACGTCCCAAAAATTCATAGGAAAATTTATTTAAAAAAAAACACTTAAACTATACAATTGAGTTATTTCAAAATCAATCAAAGTGATTATATCTTTAATACATTAGAGTAAAATCTATAAATAGTCAATGCGAAAAACTCTCGGGGATGCTGAACAGTCACGTCGGGCCCTTCCCTTTGGAACCGAAAGTACCTAAAACCGTGAATGTAAAACCGTAAGCACAAAACTTACTGATTTCCCCAAAATACCACGTACCATATATATCACTGGGCCTAGCTAGCACATTGGGGCCCAACCCATAATAATGGGCCTGGTCCTTCCTAATCAGTAGGCCCAAGCCAACATACAAATAGGCGTAGCTCGTCATACAATGGGCCCAACCCACTCATGCAAAAAGGCCCAACCCTACATACATGTCAATGGGTCCAGCCCAACATATAGTGCGAGAGTCACAAAGGTAGCTAGCATCCTACATAACACATTCTAGTGGGCCGACATTGGTACCTTCAACCCACGAATATAGCGAGGAGACTCACCTCGATCTGAAGATAACCAAATCACACACGTGTTGCTGCTACAAGGGCTCTTTACACTGAACATATTCAAAATCAATCCTAATCAATAATTAGAGTAATAACCCACATCAAGGTCCATTTTATATTTTCTCATACTAAGGGTAAAAGACCATTTTACCCCTCCAAGGCTAAACACAACCAAACATGGCTCGCGGCCCAAAAATGGCCCAAAGGCATTTCTGGGAGTACGCTATGCATATTCTCTCATTACACCCAACATATTGATATATCATACTCCCTCATTACGCCCAACATACTGAGATACCACTGAGAAGGAAAAAAGGCAAAATTTGCCCTGCGTCCTAAGGGGTTACAGCCAACGTATACCCCCTGATGCCAAAACCCACTTTTAAGCTCTTAATTCGTTAAGACTAAGCGTCCAACTCACAGATCTTAATCTAGGGAAGGTCTTAACTGATAAAGTCGTCAACTTTAAGCTTTTGCATGACTTAATGGAGTCCAAACCAAATCCCTAGTTTCATAACTTCATAAAATGACCAACAGTTTATGCATGAGTGGATTATAATCACCAAGATCCAATTTTTATGCCTTAAGAACCTCAGAAACACCAAGAAATGCTAATCCTAAGCTCCGGAGTAACTTTTACTCACAAGAGCCAAAAACATGGGACTAAAAGCTTGCAAATCAAGGCGCTAACCTAGATCTAATCATAGAACCATAAAGTTGAGAACTTTATACCTCTAGAAGCTTGCATAGATGATGAAAGTTCTGGATATATAAGCTCCAAGCCCACTAATCCTTAATGATGAACTTTTCCTTCTTCTACAAGGAACCAAGAAGTCTTTAAAGGTCCAAAACAAGCTCTTAAAGATTAGGGTTTCGAATCTAAGGTTGGGGAGGGAGGATGCTGAAAAATAGGGAGGCCTCAAGGGACTTAAGGTGTTTAAATAGGGGCTTAACCCTAAAATTTAGGGTTTTGGATCTGCATGAATACGCCCACCAAACTCTTTACGTACGCCCAACGTACTCAAAGATGACCGCAATCCTTTTAATGAATTACACCCAACGTACTCCTAATGTACGCCCCGCGTAATTCAAAAATCCACAAGTTCTACTTCGACTTCAAACAACTATAACTTCTTCAATTCAATTATGTTTTCAGTGTTCTCTATATGCACGTAAAAGTATTGAAGAGCCCTAAAATCCTATCTAATCTCCTTTGAATTAAAACATACCGAACTAAAATTCTTAATTCATGAACAAAATCTGAAGCATCACTTTTACCCTTTGACTCCGAAACACGAATCGAGATCTTGGATCACCTAACTCTTATTATCCACATCCAATTAGATCTAAATCCTATTCCTTTGAAAGCCCAAGGCCTTTTCTTGATCTATTTAGTGCCCACAATTTTGAAATAAAGAACTTCTCGATACAAGATGTTACAATATAACCATTTGATGAAGGGTAATATTGGAACATACTCCATTTGTTGCAATCATAGGTACCCCTAGAGTCAAATCTAGAATTAGGACCAAAACAGAAGGGAAATAATACTTAAACAGGAATACAATTTTATATAAATAATAGAAATTATTTTTATTAAAAAAATCATAGTGTTGAAAATCAAGATAAAAAAATGCTTTATGGCTTTCAATAAATAATGTAAAATCAATAGATAATACTTTACACCCATGAGGTGAAATCAACAAATAATGCAAAATCAAGATAGAAAATGATTTAGGATATATGGGATATAGCACAACAAACTGTGTCACAAATATATTATGAATTAGTTAACAAAAAGTAAATCTAACATGTAAGAGAAGCATAATATTACAAACTAATTAGCAACTTCTAAACTAAGAGACATAAATTATACCTCAGTTTGACAAAGTACCGAAAGAGAACCTCACAACTTTGAACTGATTTCATGTTTATTCCATTATTGTTTATGCCACTTGTTATTAAGTGATCCATATTTTTAACTCGTGATCAGTGCACATGGTTTCCTTATTAACATATATCTGTTTGCCTCAAAACAATGTTCATCACCTCCAAAACATATATGCTTGCACTGATATCACTTGATAGGTCGAATAAAAACAAATCTGTTGAAACATTAAGCTGAATGTACAAAAAACAACTGTTATTTATAGACAACAATAGTAAATGTTTCATGCCAAAACTCACTAAAATGTAATTTGTCCTTTCCGACCCTTGTAGAATCCGCAAAATTTGATATCATCCATTGAATGTCCTATTGCATTAAAATGTCTATAAATGGGATCATAAATACTTGATAAAGAGGTAGAAAAGGGACAAAGTATAAAATGCAGAGTATAAAGTGATAGATGTGAAAATCTTATAATACATAAACCAGTTTTCGACTCCATATTGTTTGAAATCCAAGGAATCCGATGTCAAACCCTTCTTGACCATTTAAGAGCAAAGCACCACAACAAAAATTGTTTTTATACTTTTAACTTGCAACATCCAATTTAAAGCAATTGATTTCGAATGAATGAGTAGAGGATAAATAAGTTAGGGGCAATCTGGTCATTTGTGATCATATAACATCTTAACAGTTTACTTACCCATACCAAATGCCGAAAAACCACATATCCGATTTTCGGATAAATTCGGATTCGGTTATTTTTGAACACCAAATAAATATATGTCTTAAGATGACGTTTCTTATAATAATGGAGTGCTATTGGATTCAATTCTTAGAGTCATTGGTAAAACGAGCTCTTACAATTGGAAAGACAAAGTAGAAATTAATTTACCAAAATTTAATTAACAACTGAAGTTTCACCCCAAACAAACGAAAACGCCTCAAGCCACAAACATGGTTGCATATTTCGGCTCTGTTTGGCGCGTCACAGCTAGCTGATAAGCTAGCTTATTTTTCAAGCTTTTTTATATTGTCGTGTTTGGTAAGCCAAAAAGTAGCTGATAAGCTAGTTTTTTGAAAAGCTACTTAGACTAGCTTTTTAGGAGTTTTTTTAAAATTTTCCAAATACACCCCTTAATTAATTATAGAAACACATATTCTTACATGTCCTTTTATGTAATTTTATATATTTCAGCTAGCTTTTCAGCTAGTTTTACTAAACGTTATTTTTTATCAGCTAGTTTTTCAGCTATCAGCTAGCTTTTTATTTAACAACTAGCTTTTCAGCCATTAACTTTTCAGCTAACAACTAGCTTTTCAGCTAGTCCGCCAAACATAGCCTTCATCTAAAAATCATTTTCCTGCTAAAATTTCGGACAAAAACTGAAACTTTGTTGTATGATTAAACAATTAAATCTTTTTTTAAAACATGTTATAATATAAAGTTGATCAAGAAGTGCAAACTATGTACAGAGAAAAAATTATTTATTTAATATTAGCAAAACGTTATTAGTCACCTTTAAAAAAATACAATCATATATTATAATGAAATTATCAAACTAATTATTAACGACTTAGAATACTCCTTAGAAAGCCAAGGTTGAATATTTTCTAAAACTTAAACATCATACACCATATGATTGTTTGTCTTTTCCAATTGCCAAGAATAATATATAGTGGATACCTAGCTAGTCATGATTAGCAAAAGAAGACAACAAGCTGCTGCCAACCATTGACTTTGTAGCAAAATAAGACCAGCTCCACTTGAGTTTAAATATAACACAACCAAAGAGCAACATCAAGGAAAATTTATATTCCCAGCTTCATACATACTATTGCAATTTCCAATTTCCATGGCCATTATCACTGAAATACAAGAAGAAGAAGCAGCAACAACAACAACAACAAAGTATGATGTTTTCCTGAGTTTCAGAGGGAAAGACACTCGTCTTGGTTTTGTTGATCACCTCTACCAAGCTTTGGTGAATGAAAACATTTCTACCTTTCTTGATGAGGAAGAGTTTGAATCTGGGGAAGAACTTAAACCTGAGCTTGAAAGAGCTATAAAAAGCTCTTGTGCTTCGATAATTGTGTTGTCTAAGAACTTCGCATCTTCAACATGGTGTTTAGACGAGTTGGTGATGATCCTTGAGCAACGAAAGGTCTTCGGCCATATTGTTCTCCCCATCTTCTACAACGTTGAGCCCACCCATATCAGGAAGCAAGAAAGCACTTTTGGAGAAGCGTTGTTTAAACATAAACAAAGGATTGAGAACGAAAAGGATGAGGAGAAGAAAATTCAAGGTGCTCGTAAGTTGGAGAAGTGGACGAAAGGACTTACAGAAATTGCTGATTTGATAGGAAAAAATGCAACTGGGAGGTAAAATATTCATACTATATTTCCACAAAATTCTTTTTATAAAAATAAGTGAAAGCAATTACTCCAGTCTAATAGAAAACACACGAGAGTAAGAAGGTGTACAAATCTAAATGGTGACAAAACAAACCACTAAGCTTAGTGAAGTCTTGTGAAATGGAAAACCTTTCGGATAATCGGAAATTCAAGAATCCTATATTTCTGTTTGTCGTTCAAGATCAACTCCCAAAAGAAATATTTTCATATTCTTTCTAAGGGTTTTAAAGATTCCAATAGAAACTTTAAAACACATGAAACCACAAATAAAATGATTTTTAGTAGTATAGAAAAAGTATAATTAAAAATCAAAAAATCTTTGCTACAAGCACCTTGGCAATCATATGACACTTGAGTTTTAGCAACACTGCTTTATGCCACAATATACTTAATAAAATAAATGTTGTTTTTCTACTTTTAACGGCATAAAAAACTTTTTAAAAAAATTGGGCGTCTTTTTATTTTATTTGAACGGTATACTAATTAAATATACTTAATAAAATAAATGTTGTTTTTCTACTTTTAACGGCACAAATTTTTTTTTTAAAAAAATTGGGCGTCTTTTTATTTTATTTTAACGGTATATTAACAATAAGATAATTAAGAAGACAAATTTTCCTTTTTCACTCACCATAAAATAAACATCAATACAAAACTACAAAGCATGTAACTTTTAGAACCATCATTATCAAAAAGCAAATCATTTTTTTTTCGTATTACTACTTCGATCCTTATCTTCTTTCTACAAAAAAAAAAAACAAAAAAAAAAACATTAATCGAGATAATATCCCATTTAGGGCTTAAAAACCCAGATTCATTTGTTAATAAACAAAGAACAAACATCATAGAGACTACCAAAGAAACATCATCTTCCCATTTTAGAAAGATTGTAGTTATAAACAGAAATTATATGTACCAATCGCATTAGTTTCTAAAAACCTTGCAACTTTTATGATTGTGATTATGTCTTACATCATCGTTGCCACTACAAGAATAGTACCCCATTGCAACTTCAATGTCGACGACATATTGTCGGGATAGGCTATACCGATGACATGTCGTCGGCGTAGGTTTGTAGCTATAAGTTGAACTTGTCGCCGGGATACGTACACCCTATATCGATGACGTGTAGTCGGCACAAGTTCCGTCGGGATGATTTTCGAAAAACATAATTTACTAATTACTTTTACCAACAACAAGTTTTCCGGATAGGCCAAATCTATATCGACGACGTGTTGTCGGGATAGGTATGCTTTATAACGACGACATGTTGTTGTCAAATGTTCTTAATCGTTTTCATTCAAAAAGCTATGCCGACAACATTTCCTCGTGTTAGCCACTGTATGCTTTTTTATTTGTTATAGATTCTATAAATTTACAATTCCTTTTATTTTATTTTATTTTATAACAAATCCAGACATTTTGAGGCATATGTAATATACAGATATTCAATAGATATTACAAACACACATTGTTCAAATTCAAGTCTAATATTACATACCAAAATAAGATACAATAACTAACACTATTCAAACTAATACAAACTAGCAAGCATCATCATCATCA